TTTTGTTTGGCACGAGGGAACTAAATTTTGTCCCTGTTATCTGTGTATTTCAATTTGCTGTGCAGATTTTCATCCAATTTTATTCAAGGGAGGGCATATACATTTTGTAGGGCTGTATCTATCCAATTCTGCCTGTAACAAACACCCAAACAACCTAAAATATCAACTATAAGACAGACAAGTGTGAAGTAAAACTCTGGAGAACATCAAAGAAAAATGGCCATGCATCTGCTCTTTAATGTTTTCCTACGATATATTAAAATAAAAACAAAGTTTCAGTCTCTTCACAAGTAGTAATTTATATTCTCTGGATTTTTTCAGCCACAACAACTGGATTCTCTTTTCTGATTTTTGCTGCAGCTTCTGCTTTGTAATCATAAGGACAGTTGTGCTTGTCAGAGTAACGGTGAAGTCCACAAAACAAATTTCCACATCGGCAGTCAAACCCTATACATATAAGAGGAAGTAGAGTCACTTGGGAACTTGTAGCAATTAAAAGAAAACAAAAAACAAAAACCCAAAAAACAACAACGATTGGCATTAAGTCACTATAGAAGAGGAATCAGATTTTCATGGATCTTTGCAACATGGAAGAGTCTGTCACTTTAAATCGTGAAAATGCTTTTAAGCTTTCTTAAAATGATGAGAAATTCAAGTTAACTCTCTTCCATAAACTCCTGTAGGTCCTATACAGAGTAGAAATTACACAGGCTCTGGAGTCAGGCTGAACCGAATTCAAATCCTAGTCCTACCATAAGTTAACTAGGTAATGTGAAACCTAGGAAAAGAACCATACAGTTCTGAGATTTAAAGGAAACAATTAAAATTAAAAAGTACGTAGACCATTTTGTGCCTGTTCAAAGTAGGTGCTTACTGTTTAATTCAGCTACCTTTCCCCCAGGAGAACAAAGGAAAGAATCAAAAGGGATGATCAATTCAATAAAGGAGATTGAGAAGGCCTGAAGTTAGGAAAGGATTTCATATGATTAGAGAGAGATGGAAATCAAACTCAACTTCTCCTCGTTGTCCCACTTTTAGTCTACTCTGGAAACTTTCTATTCTTGAAAGCTGGACATTTTGTTTTATATGCAAGACTGACGAGTCCCTTAGGGAATAACTAGGAGTCTCTTAAGGAGTTACTGTTAAATCTCAGCAGCAGAATATACATGGTGTTATGTGTTCTGTAGTACCTGTAAGGCCAACTTTCTTTCTGCACATGAAACATCTGTTCTTCTTTGGTTTGGGCAACTCAGGAGCTTTTTCTTCACTTTGAGAAGTACTGGGCTGAGAAACTGATGGACTGGGCTGAGTGACAACTGAAAAACAAGGGTAAAAATTAGAAATCTGTCAAGAATTCACTGGTTGACAATTATCTAAGTTAAAAAAAAAATTAAGAGAAACAGTAAGAGTCTCAGTGAAAATGTTTAAGAAGCCTTTCCTGAAAACAAGTACTTTAAATAAAATCTTCTACTTCAATATCAGAACTTTCAAATCTGAGAATTTCTTGCCAATTAACATAATACAACTTGTCCCTATAAATTTTCATTAAATGATCGCTCAAATTCCTTTAAATTCACTCTTAACAGCTAGTACTAGGAAACAAAATCCTAATTTTAAGTTTTAAAGACTTAAGAGATGTGGTTACCTGCTCAGCTTTTCCATATTGCAATTGCCTAAATGCAAACTTCTTAATTAGGGCAGTTCAAATTCATTACTACTCAGTAAATATGGCTGCCAACTTCTGAGGTATGTAACTAGTCATTTTGGTAGTAAAATTAATAGAAAAAAGAAAAATTATGTAGGTAAAACCAGCAAATTTCAAAAAGTAGAACTCAAATCATTAATTCCTAATTAACTTCATATCCCAAAATGTCACATTACTTTGTCATTTTATTTTCTTATGTAGGAAACCTGGAGAATTTTTATAAAAAGCTCTTTCTTTTGAAAGATTAGCAAACAACGTCCTTTTAGGACAGTGTAAAAATTTGAAGAGTTGTGACTTTAGATTAAATAGGATTCTATAGGCAAAACAAGAATTTTTAAAGCACAGTTTTAGTTTACTTTGCGATGCGTAAAACTGGTATAAAGTTCGGACAACTAGAGATATGATCTACTTTTAAAAGTTCCTGTTTCTCTATTTAAAACGGATTCAAGTTTTAGTTCATATATGACATCAACAGAATTTGTCAATATAAGAATGCAGATTACTGTATTAAAGTCCACATTACCACCAGGTTATTTAAAAAATACCAAAATTTAATTCTACTTTTATAAAATTCAGCGACACCAGAAGTACTGTTAGCTGAGTTTTAACATTAATCCAAACCTCAAGAATAGCAAATTAATATATATAATGGTAAAATTACTGCCTAAACAATAGGACAGCACTAACATTATCAGCATAAATCGGAAGCTCTAGAGCAAACCTATTGGTTTAATGACAACTTACTCTAAAATTCTCTCCAAATTTATAGTTTACTTGCATTAGTAATATACCCAGTGAGATCAATAGCCTAATATTAGATCAACAGTGGTATTCCAGCTACTACTTATTCCTAATAATCTATTATGGCAGCCTTAACATAATTTTTCCTGATGGTATGATGGTAAAGAATGGTATGTGAGAATAGTCTGGGGGAGGAGATGACAGCCATTTTCTTGGCCACATCTGAAAACTGAATAGTGGTTCCCAAGACATATAGGGAAAAAAGGGAGTTAAGAAGAGAAAAATGATACAGAAAAGGCAAAGAGCAGCAAACTACAGATTGTCTACCAAGAAATAATAAATGCACAGAATAGCTGCAGATTTAATCCGAAAGAGTATTATTCCAAGGTCATAGTAATTTTGTGTTAAAAAAACAAAAACACAGAACAAAAGCCCCACAAATATGAATTTGGTCAATTTTTCAGAAGGATGGAATTCACTTCAAAATGCCAAATACGGATTCCCCTGCCCAACTTAAAATTTTCATCTTAACTTTATCGATTAAGATTGATATGGTTCACATAAGCTTGCCTATGTAATATTAGCAAAAGCAAGCCTCAAAGCAGATTATATATCTATTGACTCTATTTCCTTACAATAAAGTTTTATACTGTCTTCAGCAAATACTGTACCAGTCAGTAATTGATCAAATGAACTAGATGCGCTATAAAATAGGTAGATCACTGTTCTAAGGTCTAGCACAGGTAATTCAAATAAATCAAACTGGCAACACTAGAGCAATCAGTCACTATCTAATGTAAACCAAAATGCATTTCCATACTGAGTTTTTAACTCCCGTAGGGATCCAACACTTCAACTTGGAAGTTTTATTAGTGTTCAGTATGTTTTTTGCTCAAATATTTTCTACAATATTAATATCAAGGCTGAATTTTTTATTGTAAAATTTTTGATGGCTTTGGAATTTAATCTATATAATTTTCTCTGTATGTCTTCTCTAATGATTTAGATACTTCTAAAATGTATTGGTGAACTACCTTCTAACTTCATGAAATTCTTAGTACTTCCGTTCTTCATATTATAAACTTTGCTGATTTGTGGGTGTGAGGTTAAGGGGAAATGGCAAAGAAGAGAGTAAAGAGTGACTGTCTTATACTACAAGTTACTTTAAAGACAGTGGTTTGCTCGGTCTATGTGTTGTAGCTCTTGTTCCTCTTTGGTCCTTCAATGGGAAGGAAAGAATACCCCCAACCAACCCTTTCTCGTACCACCAAATCCAGAACTCAACTAGTATTAAACAAAAAACATACCTGGCTCTGACACCTCTGTTTTCGGGGTAGTTATTTTGTCTTCTCTTGAAATGCTCATTTCTGTCATTTGCTGAGTTACAGGCAAGGCAGCCACAGGCACATTTCTATTTGAGTTCAAGCAAACATTTTTAAAGATGTTAAAGGTACTTCTCTGTGAGGTAAGTTGTCAGTTCTACTTTAAATTATATAGTATTTCCAACATGGCCAAATGGAGCTAAATAATCTAAAAAAGATGCCCAGCACAAATGGTTGAGAAGAAGGAAAGCAAAAGGGGCAGCTTTGCCAAAATGTCTTGCGTGGCATTACAATATAGTTACAGAACCTCATTCTCTACAATCCCTACACCTCAATTACAAGGAAATAAAAGCACGCATTCTCAACATAGCATACTTGAGACTGTTCTGCAGTACGTTATGATATACACCTTCACTCAGTGACCTACAAGATATGTTAAAAGACACTGGAATCTCCAATTGTGCAACACATGCAAAATAAAGGGCATCTGATATATTAACTGCCTTATGATAATGTAATATATTTGAAGTAACATAATATCCTTTTTATTAACATTCATAATTATGTTAGTTATTTTTATTTCCTCCTATAGTAATAATAATAAAAACCCAGAAACATTCAATCTTACCTTGATTTTTCAGTTGTGCTGCCAGCAGCACCTTCACAGTTGTTTAAACTAGTGTCTGCCCTTTGTACAGATGCAGAATCTGAGGTAGGACTGTTGGAACCACTAGCTGTTCCTATTTAAAAAAAGGATTTGTAAGAAACAAAGCAACACCTCAAACACTCAGGAACAAAACTATTAATAAGTAACAAATACTTGCATTTCATTAGGTTAGTGACTTAAGTACTTTCATTGTGCTGCAGAATCCTCTATTTAAGTGATATCCAAACAAACAAAACCAAAAAATTCGTATCCAGTGAACACAAGTATGAAACAAAACCTCAAAAAGGAAAATGAAAAACCTAGAAGATGCTTGTAGACAGTCACTCATTCCTCATGTAGTATGCAAAGTACTTGAGCTGTTGCTTTAAATTTCAAGCTTTTCTTGGGTTTTTCTCTCCTTGGACTTTCAGCATTGGTTCAGTCTTAGGCCCCAATTCTTAGTTCTACATTTTCTGTCCACCAGTTCTTCAAATGGGTTATTCCTTGGAAACAACTTACCCATTGGGCTCATTCTGCCACTATTCTGCTGTCTCTGAAGATGTTCTTTGTAGCAAACAGAACACATTCCATTTGTCCTAGGATTCCCATAAAAGCCACATCCTGTACTACACAGCATGGGCCCTGGGGTCTGGTTAGTCTCCTGAGCCATTGTTCTCCTATAAACAAAACAACAAAAAAATTTTAAGAAACTAGCATGTAATCAAAAAAAAAAACCCACAGAATCACTAAATTAGTATGATAGTCACGATTGTACCTTTGTCATTTCTAAGCACTGAGTTTATTTCTAACAAAGGCCCAAATTGTGTTATCTTTAAAAAGGGTAGGCTAAATTATATTTTGTTGCCTTTATAAAACAAAGGACATAACAGAAACTGTGTTTTAGCTTGATAAATAATGAACTATTATGACTTCACATTCTTTAGAACAATTCTGCCATTATACATTAAAATGTGTTATTTTACCTGTCAATGTCTGTTTTAATTCCTGAAAAGGTCACCCTTCCAGATATAAGAATTGTGTTTAAATCAATTAGTGCAATTGGTATTTTAAAATCACTTTCAGCTCTCCAGTACTATAGGCATATCATTTCAAATAATCACAATCAACTGTTGACTCGGTATCTACTAGTGGTTCTTTAAACTAGCTGTATATATTGGATGCAGCTCTAGAGCGTTCTTGAAACACCTGAACACACTTGGGTCCACTAGTAATTCAACAATTCTGCTACAGGGAAGAGAGCATCTGTACTTTCAAAATGCTGCAACACCTTTATGAGGCTGAAAAGAGAGCTGGTGGATCAATTAGCCTTTCCTGTTAGCTTGGCACCAGAAAGTGAAGCTCTTTAAGAATTTAGAGGTAGGGTCAGTTACTTATAGAAAATTCCTTTTGTTTTAGAGTTGACATGTGAAATCTGGGTCTGAGTATACTTTGAAGTCAGTGCCCAGAAACCTGCAACACACAAATTTTCAGGTTTGTCAGCCAACAGCTCTATTAAAACTTTTAACAAGCGTGTTTTCCTCATACCAGAAAGTAATGAAACCTTTCCAATCTCAATTTCAATATAGCAAAGCGATATAAATACAAAACCTTTAGTAATGGTTAATATTTAATGCTAGGTTATCAGAAAGAGCTTTATACAGGAAGCATACCCTTGCTTTTCCAGAAGCCTTGTTAAAATTAGCACAAATACACTAATGTTTTGCTAGATTTAGTAAATTTCCTGAGTTAACAGAACATAAACATTTAAGAAAAATTAAAGAAAACACTGGAGGATTTCCATGTTACCATAAAATATGTATGAATGTACAAAAATCATATTTGAAACTACTCAAAAGGAGATCGTGTAACTTGTGGTCATTGTCATGTCAATGTACCTTAATGTTGACAACGTAGGTGCTTTATTAAGTTACAAACATTTCAAAAAAGCACGGTAGCTTACTTCAAGCTAGAGCTTATTCCCTAGAATTTCATTAGGCTTTTTCCAACCATCACATACTAGGATACACTCTTTAGTGAGTTATTAAAAACAATGTTTTAACAAGTATTAACATTTTCTACCAAAATTATTAAAGGGCGGGGACAGAGGGCTAACCAATTTCGACCTGGCTAGAATCCTGACATTTATTCTCCTAAACATTTAAGTGATAGTAGTTTTTCCTTTTGCTAGTAAGACACCATATTTAAAGCTTGAAAATATTTCAAGCCAATCAAGCTTGTATAGAGTGATCAGTATTTGCAACTTACTTCAGACAATAGTACTAATTTAGTTGACACTGTCTCTTTAAATAGTAAGTGGAATTTAGCTGACTCATTTGGAGCAGGGTAGTGCAAATATTTCAACATCACTTACGAAGTTTATTAAAACACTTTCAGTTGGTTTTTTAAAATTTTGAGTATAACATGCAAAAAATGCTTCAAATAGTGTATTTATCTGCATGCCCATCATACAAAGTTACGAGTCTTTGCCCTATGCAAAAAGTAGGGTCCTTCCTTAAAGCCAGCTTGAAGAATTATGCTAAGTCACTTTCTACACTAACTTCTAGTGTCGTCTGACAGTGGCTTTAAAGGTAAATTGTCTTAAGAGTCAACCCATATTAATATTAGCTAATCCAATTCTAAAATCTTTTGTTTCACTTAGATAAACGGGGGTGGGGGATCTCATCCCAGGACTTCATACGCAAAGTATTCCACCTTTCTTCAGAAAACACATCTACCTTCAATTCACTATAAATAGCCTCCAAACTCTGAGACACAAGAGACACCAGGACGTTAGTTTCCTACATGGCCTCCCACTTTTTGGATTTTTTCCCTCGTAGAAAGTCAGCTTTTAAATGCCATCACATGTGCACAGCTTGCCTTAGTATTTCTCAGAAGCTTGGATCACATGGGAGGGCGCTTCAGCCTGTCACAAGGCTGCAATGTGACAAGCTGAGCTGGATGGAGGCTCTCACATAAAGCCTAGTCAACAGGGGCCTCTGAAATCAGCTTCTATTTATATCTCAGAGCCTGCCAACTCCTACACAACCCCAAGAACTAAGGATGCAGCGTTCATGTATCTGACACAGTAAGAAAACAAAAGAAAAAAATGCCATTAAGGTTCCTACAGTTTTTTCTAATGTAGGGATGGCTAAAGAACAATCTCAAATTCAATCTAGAAGACGCAAGCATCATTAATCACTCATGAAGCCAAAAGGACTGTCTAAAAATCAAGCAAAGCGATGAGAGCATCAAGGCAGAAGGAACTCTCCTGTTTAGTGGCAATTTTTTTTTGCAGGGGGGCAGGAGGGGGAGATTAGTTCACCATTAGATACAGTATTCTCCTACTTCGCAGTATTTTAGAAAAAATGCAATACCATTATTATTTAGTACCTTTCAAGTTGTTACAAACTTGAGCATTCATGGGTCAGCTCTATCAGATACAGCTAAAATGTTTATTTTTAGTTTTTACAGCTGAAATGTTTCTCTATAGTTTGTGGCTTCCTCTAATTCGTTAACTACAAAACAAAAACCTAAAAGACTGGGGGGCATGTAACTGAAAATTCTCCAGCCTCAAATATGAATAACAAAAGGCTTTTATACATGAAATTTAGTTCTTTCAGGTGCACAAAAATGTTAGGAATGTCCACCCCACCTGGAATTGAGATCGGAGTTCTAGTCTCTAATCTACCTCTAACTAAGCCAGTGACCTTGGGCAAGCCCTTACTCTCCAGATCTCGGTTCCCTCTTTGCAAATAGAGAAGATTACTGTGATTTTTAAAGGCTCCTTTTCAGGCTTAATACCTGGCCTGAGACAGAAAATAGGGAAAAATAAAACAAATCTTTTTTGGGGGGGTATTTTTTGAAAAAACTTGAAAAATAAAATTGCAATATTTTCACCAATTCAGTTCTGAAATCCTACTTTTAAAACTAAGGAGTAAAATGCAATTCATTTAGATTATTTTTTAAAAGTCTGTAAATTACCTGAATGCGAAGTTTAGGAACAGTAGCTGTATGGCTCTATGACCTATATATACTACTTTACCCTAGTATGTTCTTAGACAAGATTCTTAAGAGGCATTCAATCAAAGAATCTGGGCCTTTTCCCAAAACACTGCTCCTCGTGTGTGGGAAAAGAGCAAAGAATTTTACGTTCACCAGACTAAATGCACGAAACAAAGGGGAAGGTGCTCCATTTCCTTCACGAAAGAGATCTTGGGCGAGAAATGCAGCGACATCGGTAAAACTAAAACCCGTCGACAGAAGTCCCCCTCACCCAACGTTCCAGGGGATTTTAAAACAAGTTCGGGTCCCACTGGTCCCCCATCTCTATCCCCATGCATTTCTGAGCAAAGGCCTCGCTCAGGAAAGCCGAGCAGGGCCTTATTCAAAAACCACTGAGTCATGCAGAACAGCAGCTCCGCAGGCCAAGTCAGCCCCTCACCCTGCCCATCCCGCGCCCAACCCCGACCCTGAACGGCTCCTCCGAGGAGGCAGAGATGAGGGGTGCGGCGGTTAAGGGGCCGGGGGCGCGGCGGCCGCCGCCACCGCCTTTGTCTTTCCCGGTCAGGCCACCCACACCGGGCGCCACCGCGGAAGGCGACCAGGACAGACTAGAGAGCGTCCCGAAGCCCCGGAGGCCGCAAGCTGGGCATTGTTCCCCCGACCGTGCGTGTGCGAGTGAGCCGGGGGCGCAGGGAACCGGGCCTCCAGCCACGACGACAGGATGACGCCTCCGTCTTTGTGCTTCCTGAGCTGGCGGGCGGGCTC